TCTACCTGGCAACAAATTAGTCTGGAGTTGGGTAGTCACCATCCCCATTCCCCACCTCCAAACCCCATTTAGGTGGGACTTGAATTCTCCTGCAGGCCAAAGTTCACGCTACTTCCCATAAGCAGTTTCACATATTTATCTGCCTGGCTCCCACAGGCATGGGAAGTTGACACCCCTATTCTAAACATTGCCTCTTCAGGGGCTTTGGTAGATTTGCTACAGCATCACACACAACAAGTGACCTTTCAAAAATGTAGTAGAGATGAGAAAAATGATTTGGAAAGAGACTTCCTTAAAATGCTTGAAGGGAAAGAGATAAGCAGCCATATTAGTGGAGGCCGAGTTATAGACATTGGTGAGAACCCAGATTGAGGGAAAGAGGGAAAAAAAGTAAAACCATGAATTAAATTAACAAAGTGCTGCAAGTATGAGAGGTGGGATGAGTTAACGGATTCCTACCAATGATAGGAAACAAAGACAGCAAGTGGGTTTAAAAAAGACAACACTTTAATCTTTTTTTTTTTTTTTTTGAGACAGAGTCTTGCTCTGTCACCCAGGCTGGAGTGCAGTGGTGCAATCTCAGCTCACTGCAACCTCCGCCTCCCAGGTTCAAGCTATTCTCCTGCCTCAGCCTCCGGAATAGCTGGGTCTAAAGGCGTGCACCACTACGCCTGGCTAATTTTTGTATTATTACTAGAGATGGGGTTTCACCATATTGGCCAGGCTGGTCTTGAACTCCTGATCTCGTGATCCACCCACCTCAGTCTCCCAAAGTGCTGGGATTATGAGTGTGAGCCATCACGCCCAGCAACATTTTAGTCTTTTAATATATTATAATATTAATATTGAAACCTTAAAGAGAAGGGGTTAGTAAGTGTTAAATTGGCCAGGAGTCCTAGTCAGAAAGTGCAAGCAGGCAGTTGTAGGATAACAGAAATCTGTGTGGAGATTAAATGAATGAGGTAGGAAAGCCTTCTAGAAAAGGCTCCTGGAAAAGGATCAGGAACCACACTGTGGGAATGCTGAAGAACTGGTGGAAATTTAAGAGAGGAGATAATCTTGAAAGTCTTGGTGTTTTTTTTTTTTTTTTTTTTTTTTTGCAAATGTATTGAAATGACAAGTATTATAAAGATAGAGAAAATACATCATGTTTAGTGGTCTCAAAAATAATAAACCTTTACAGAAAAGAAAATAACTATGACAAATTGGGCCCTTCCTGGAAATTTCCAGATAGTTCCCCATACTCAGAAATGATTAAGAGAGAGAATCTGTGACTGGTTATGAGGAAGGATGGAAAATTTTGAAGGACGGGTTGATTATGTAATTTTTAGACTGTGTTGTTTAAAATTGTTGCTGTGATATTTTAGTTATTAATAACAATTTGGGAAATCTAGTCACTTCTGGAGAAACATTTGGCTCTAATGAGAAAGAAATGCCACTGTTTGTGAATTCCCAAGTGGATGTAAAGAACCATTCACTCGCTAAGCCTCTTAGGAAAGCCAGAGCCGGTTTTACCCTTAACAAGCTGTTGACAGAGGCTGATCAAGGTACCACCTGGAACATGTTAACAATACAAAAAAGTGGACTGTGGAGTCAGACCTATGTTTCAATCCCTTTATGTCACTCACCATGTGACTCTGGCAGATTACCCATGGAAAATTTCTAGGCTGTAAAAGCTGTTTTACACACAGTAACTATGATTCTCACTGCTTGGATGGTACACTTCGAACTCTGAATACTTTATTTCCAGTATTGACAACAGCCTACAATCCTAGCATACTTAACGTAATACCAGGTACTATTGCAAATGCTTCATATGTATTATCTCATGTAATTCTTAAAAAGCCCTTTAAGGTAGGCACTAATATTAAGATTAGTCCCATTTTATAGATGAAGAAGCCAAGGGAGTTTAGCTAACCTGCCTGAAGTGGCCTTGTAACCACCAAAGCTGGGCTTTAAACCCAGGCAGGCCGAATCCAAAGGCAGAATTACCTTGCCCTGCCACTTTCCACCTTCCAGTTGCAGCGAAACACAGGGAGCAATACCAGATACTAGCACTTCCCAACCCTGGTTCCTAATCCATGTGCCTCAGTTTTCTTGGAGGTCTTTGAGTAATTTTCAGAGTTTCCAAAAGCCTCAGTGGAAACATACAAACATGCCATTATTAATAGACCACAGGTTATTTAGGTTGGAATCCACTATTAACAACCGGTTAGCTCAGGTTTTGAGGAAGCTCTGATTGGCAATTGCATATGCAAAAACATTGCAGGTTTTGGTTTTTGTTTTTTTAAGTGGGAAGATGAATCATTACTTAATAAATGCAGTTTAGTGGAGTAGATCTTTCTGAACATGTGGCGTATGAAGGAATAATAAAGGGTGCTTGGCTTTGAGGAGATTGGGAAATGCTAATGTACATGTGTATGCATGTTGCCCAAACTGTAGGCCTTCAAAGCTCTTCCTTTTATTTTGAAATAACGTGATTCTTTAATTTGACTTGGAGTTAATGTATCTTTCCCTCATTATTTAAAATGTTTTGTTGGCTTTATATTTAATATTGGAGTCTACTTTATCCATCAGGTGATCACATTCTTAAAACATGGTCAGGAACTAGGACGCAGAATTGCAAGTAGTGTAGATTCCAGGCTAAAAACAAGACGTAAGTTATGCGAAGAATTGACTTTTTTAGCTATGGCCTTTTTGTTTTTGTTTCTTTAAGAAAATTTAAGAATAAGACTCTACTATCAAAACACTAGAGAACATGGCCGATTTTTAAAAAACAAACCCCTGTCCATTATTCCCGCATTGGGCTATTAGCTCCACATGGCCAGCTTTTGGCAGGCCCTCTCTGAATACTTTTTCAATGAGCAGCCCCTGGATCTTGGACGGAAGATGCCAGCGATCAGGGCCCTTCACTTAAAGAAGAGGACTGGGTCTTTTGGGTGAAATAGTTTCTATACCACGTTGGGAAAAATCAACCTAGGCCTCTCTTGACGGCCATGGAAAAACACAGGTGACTCCTTGTTCCTGAGAATTTGATGCAAATGAAACAGCACCAGACTTTCTGTGAATCCTGTATGCGGAGTCTGGAACAGGAGCCCACGGACCCTTCTGGGGCCCGGGGCCTTGTTCTGACAGTCTCCAGGCTCTGTGGCCCAGAGTCCTAGCTGCGTCGGCCTTCCGCAGGTTCCGAACTGCGTCCTCCCCAGGAGGCTGAGGCCGCTGCCTCCTTGGTGGGGGGCCCCGGCTGGCCCTGGGTCGGGCATGGGGCCTTGCGGGGACGTCGCGGATCCCAACGCCGCCCTCCTGAGGCCTGGTCCTCCGCGCCGCGGTTCCCCCAGCCCCGGGCCCGCAGGTCGGGCCGACCTCCTCCCGGACGGGCTGCGTCCTCTGCCCCGCGCCGGGGGCGGGCCGGGCCGCCAGAGCCGAGCCGCCGGCGTCCATTTTCTGGGCGGTGCTGTGCAGCGCCGCGGCCGGACTCGCGGGTCCGGAAGCACCATGGACCCCCGGGGAAACGCGCCGGCGGCCGAGGAGCCGAGCCCCGTAAGTGCCCCTCGCAGGGTCTTCGCGGGCCCGGGGTGGGTGAGGCGCGGCCTGCAGGCGCGGGGCCCGGGACGCCGCCAGCCCGACCGCCCCTCGCTTCTGGAGGGAGCCGGGAAGCCTGGCTGGGGAAACTCTCGCAAGGGGTGAGCTCCGCAAACGCAGCAGAGCCGAGCTGTCCGCGGGGAGGAAGCGCCCGCAGGTGCCCGGACTCCGGGGCCCGCGCCCGGAGCGGGGCGGGGCGGGGTGGGTTCGGCTGGGGAGTGCGGGCAGGTTGCGCCGCATCTCTTGGCCCAACTGCGCGGCTGTGCTAGAGGGCGGGGGCCGGGAAGGAATGCGCTCCCGGGGCTGGGGACGTGGTGGGCTCGGGTCCAGGCGGGCTCGGGCACCGCTCTGACAGGCACACCTCCCGTCTGCTGGACTGGGAATCGAACCCTAGCCCTGACCCTACGGGAACTTGGTAATTTCCTTGATGCAACACCAAGCCCCTGGAATTGAACGGGACGTGCAGAGGCAGGGCCCTGCCCCCAGGGGTTTGCAGTCTCAGCCGCCTACTTCTGCAGTAGTTAGGTCTGCTGTGTTGCTACAACATACAACACAACCGCTCGCCGCTAGCCACTTTTTTGTAGGGTACATCATAAATCACCTGAGATTTTAGTCTGTCCGCGGTTCCGCTTTATAACTCCTGCTCTGCGGTAGGTAAGTGACTAATTCCATTCTGGACGTTGGCCCTAATTGAGTATCACTGCTAAGGATCCATTACAGGTGATATGTGTTATGGTGGCTTATACATATTTTAAAGGCTAAAGGCGTTTCTTCTGTGAAGCTCAACCACTTGGTCAGATTCTCATGGTTAAAAAATGTGCAAGAGTTTTGGTTTCAGAGAAGCAGGTAGTGAGGTACTATATCTAAGTGTAGCGTTTTTCAAGAGTCGGGGACCCGTTAGAAGATTGTGGGATCAGTTCAGTGGGTTGCTACTGGTAATCTTCTTAAAAATATAGAATACATAGTACAATATAGAGAATAGAATAGAAAATAAAGTGCATTGCACGTAGTAAGGGTAAGCATTGTTTTATGAGACGCTTGGTTTTCAGTTTATATCACGTACATATTTAAAACAGTGGGTCACTGAAAAGTTTTTAAAACCCTGACTTACTGGTTAATAGCCCAGGCTTTGGAATCAATTGAATCTGGATTTGAATCCCAGTTGTCATATAAACCAGCTATATGACCTTGAACAGGTTCCATGGCCCATGAGAGTATTCGTTTCCGTAGCAGTAAATTGGGGGAATGTTCTCTACGTCTGAAGGTTGTTATAAAGACAACATGAAACCACATTTGTCAACCACTTTGTGGGTGCTTGACTTATGTGTTCAATATGTGCTAATTGCAATTACTGTTGTTGCTAAAATGTCAAATCCTAGCAGTTAGCCATGGGACACTGTACTTTTTTTTCTTTTTAGATCTTGATGTGGAAGAAATGGAGGACTCAGAACCAAGGATTTCCAAGTGATTTCTTCCAAAGCACAGGAATCTAACTCCGTTAAAGCTGATCTGTTCTGACTGAGGTAATTAAATTTGCGTCTTTCAACCTATGTGAGATAGGAAATGGTTTTTCTGAGGGACTCCCAAAAAGTATGTGATTCAAGACAGCAATCCACCAGGTTTGGGGGTTACAAGGTGACCGTGACACTCAGGTGATCTGTTACAGGGAGACCGTATGTGTGAAGCCCCTATGATGAAGGAGAACTAGGAGATCAAGGCTTTAGGACTGGTGGTTTCTTGTTCCAGTTCTGTCAGCAATTGTCATGGGGTCTTCTGCATGTCTCTTCACAGATCTGTGGTTTCTCTAGGCTGGAAGGATACGCTGACATGGCTGAGGCCCAAAGAGTCTAAATGACTCTTCAGGGTTACCTACTGGGTTGTGGTCAAGGCAGGACTGGACCTTGGATCTTCTTTGCTCAGTCACGTAGCCAGCTTCATTTCAGGGCCCTCTGTGAGGCGAGTGCTCCGCTGGGCACCGAGTATACAAATGTGGCGAGACCATCTCCAGGACACTTGCAGCTGTCTCAGACAGCCCAGCACACTAAGCTGTACCTTGGAGCCATATACAAGGTCCCAGATGGTGACAATAACAACTACCATTTATCGAGCATTTGTGTGCGTGTGTATGCTAGGCAGTGTGTGAAGGGCTTTAAGCACAGTATTTTTTTATTTACTCCTCACAATAGCCCTATTAGGTGAGGAAGAGTAGGCATAAAGGATTGAAGTGTGAAAATAGGGACAGGTCACAGAGGGCTTTGCATCTCATACTACATGTATGAAGTACCTTCTGTGTGCACAGCACTGTGCCAGGACCGCAAAGTGGCCATCCTGGAGGAGCTCGCAGCCTGATTCCACAGAGGCACAGTAGGATGGACGGTGCTTGCCTTTCACACCCCTCTCCTTCCCCTGCTTCTCCAGCATTTGCAGAGTGGGGTACACCACAGGGACAGACCAGAGTAATAGACACACCAAAATTCCTGCCTCTAAATTCAATTTTACTTTTTTCTCTACTTAAATCTATACTTCCACCCATCTATTAAAACATATGCCCTCAAGTTATAAATGATAGGAAGGCCTTCTCTGAATCCATTCATTTATTTTTCATCAACAAATGTTTATTAGTTTCTACAAGGCACTTGGGTGCTCAAGACCAGACAGATTATTGTTTTTACAATCATATTAGTCATTTCCAGTCTCTTAGCAAAGAATTCATTGTTCAACTGTTAGCAATTTTCTATTGTTAATATGCTGGAATGTCAGCTCCATGGATGTTGGAGATTGACCCATATGTAGAATTCCAAATGGATATATAGGAAAGCCATTTAAAAAGTCTTAAGATCTTTAGAAAGGAATTTCCCGCTTCTCTTTTAAATTTTGATTTTTGACATTCCTGTTACCTGCTTACAAATACCTTTTCATTTGTACATTTAACTCATAATCCAAGAAACAGCACTTTGGCAAGGGGGGCTTTTTTTTTATTTGAAATGTTCTGTTTTAGCTTTGTAGGCCACAGAAGACTGTGGGTAAAGTAAACTTTCAAAAGTAAAGTAATTTAAGAAATACATTTGTTTAATTTATAAGATAGAAAATTAGAGATAGCTCTAAGAATTGCAATAAGCCGCAGAAATCAAATTGCAAGACTTGAATGCTACCTGTAATAACTTAGTCCCCAAATAAATGAGATGTTGAATGTGAACATGCTTTGTAAGCTTTGAGGTGTTCTATGAATGCTGTACAGCAATCTACAAGTATGACTTTGTGCTAGAGAGAATGAAGAATTCAGCTGCCGCAAAATCTGGTCTGTTTGCCCTCAGACTCTGTTGAGGAAAGAAGATATACAGAAATAACCATGTGATAAATGCAAAAAGAAGGCATTTTAGTAATTTGAAGAGGAGCGGTCCCTTTTATCCCTAGCAGTCAAGAGACACTTAATAAAAAGCCTCTAAGCAAGTCTTTGAATGATGTGGCGTTTCAATAAAAGAGATGGGGAGGAGGCATGTGAGACAGGAAGAATGGGAGGAGATGGAGAAACATGGAGCATATTCGGGGAAAAGTGTCAAGTCCAGTTGAGTTAGAACTGGTCTATACAGGCATCAAAACTGGAGAACATTTGGTGCTAAGTGATAGAGTCTTGAATGCCAACTAGGAAATGTGAATGCATTAACCAATAAGCGTCATTAAAGATCCTTGAACAGGGGAGTGTTGTGGCCATGCTTCAGGACTGGGACCTTGTGAGTAGCCTGGGGGAGATTGGGAGGAGAGGCAGGGCAGAAACTAGAGGCCAGGAGGCCAGTTAAGCTACTACAACCCAGCAAGGAAAAAGGAAGGCAGGAAAGGCCTGAAATGGATGGTAACAATGAAATGGGAAAGGAACAGATGCAAAGGGAAGAACTGACAGAATCTGATGTCTCAGTGGAGAAGGAACAGTTAAAGCTGACACTGCAATTTCCAGAGCAGTGGTACCCATGGAGGAAACTCAGAAGGAGGTAAGGAGCTGCATTTTAGAGGTGCTGTGTTTTCAGTGTTGAAGCATGCTGTCTCCCAGGCAGAAGAGGGCTTTGTGCTCCAGAGGAAGGCCAGGACTTGTTTGGGAGTCTCTGGTTTATAAGAAAAAGTCAAGAGATGAAGAGAGATTTTTGAGAGGGAATATAGGGAAAAACTGGTTGCGGATGGAGCCTTTTGAGAAAAGAAAGGAAGATCTATGGAGGCAGAGAGAAGTCTGGCACAATAGTAAGGAAGAACCATGGAGGAACGCAACTCCAGAAGCCAGCGAAGGGGGCTCCCAATGGAGAGAGCCAGGTGTGTCAGACCCTGGAAGGTGAGAGATGAGCTTAGGAAGACCGGTGAATTGGCAAGGGCGAGGTTACGTATTTGTTGCTGTTTTCCTTCATAAGTTAATATGACGTGTATGATGAGTATTAAGTGGTTTAATTTGCATAAATGTGTAGCTTACACAAATAAAGAATCACCCTTAAATTTGTCCCCAGCAAGTCCCAAAACACACTTCTGATTATGAAAATGCAGGCTATTAAATGTGGTTTTGATAGTAGTCATATACCATAGTCTGTTGTCAGCATACAAATTAAAGACTATCCCTGAATAGAATGAGTCTTTTAAAAGCTACGTTTCTGTTGATGCAAAAAGTTTCCAAAAGTAATGTAATTCCATTGCCTTTTACCATATGGCTACTGTATGACATTGTGTGTGTGTGTGCGTGTTTTCACGTGCCTATGAGGTTAGTACAATGGAATGAGGAGACTGGGGTCAGATAAATCTAGTTTCACAACCTAGCTGGGCCACTTTCCAGACTTGTGACTTTAGAAGAGTTTCTCTCTAAGCCTGACTTTTTCCATCTATAACTCATGTAGGATTATTTGGAAGATTGAGTAATATATAATTTGGTCAGGAGCTCTATATACCATAGGAGGCAATTAATTAATACTGGTTCCCTTCCACTCACAACCTTGTATAGATATGTAAATTTATATAATGTGCATCTACACGTAAAGCCTTATCTTTATATAATGTGCATCTACACGTAAAGCCTTATCTTTAAGATTCGTTTTAATGTGTTAATTTTATCATGGAAAGTACACAACTGTTATCACTGATTTATTCTGGGTTAGTCCCAGTAACCATCAATTTAGTATGGACAAGAATCCACCTGGGAAACTTGTCAAAATGTAGATTCCCAGGCCCAGAGATTCTGATTCAGTAGATTTGGGGCGGGGCAAGGGAATCTGCATTTTAAACAGCACTGTCATGGCTGGTGTTGAAGATGAACAATTGCCAGTTTCTGTGAAGCAGGGGAAGGGATAAACCTGAGATTTGAGATGCTGGTTTCAAATCCTGTTTCTACTGGGGCTACCTCTATGCCCAAAAGTTTTGTATCATTAATGTTAGTGGATTATATGCCTAATCAGATAAAAACAAATACGTTGCAGATAGTCGGGGAATGGTGGTATTACTGCACCCTCCCACCCGCATCATCTCATTGCTCTCTGCTGTGGAATCACAGTACTGGGTAACATGCTGCCTGCAAACCAGTTTCTTTTTCTGCGGAGTAAGTGATGACAGCCTGTCCCCATGGCCAGAGTTTACAAAACCATTTTAACTTGGTTGTTGGCAATATATAGTGACAACACTACACAGTCATGCCATTAAAGTATTCTGTATGACTCTCTTCTAGTGGATAAACATCTCTGTCATTATTTCCCTCAATCTCTGCATCTTAAAGTCACATAATTTTTAGGCTAAAGTTCATATTCTTCATCCATCCCAACCCTGTTTTATAGCTGAAAAAATAATTTGGCCAGGCACAGTGGCTCATGCCTGTAATCTCAGCACTGTGGGAGGCCAAGGCTGATGGATGACCTGAGGTCAGGAGTTTGAGACCAGCCTGACCAACATGGCAAAACCTCATCTCTGCTAAAAATACAAATTAGCCAGGCATGGTGGCAGGCACCTGTAATCCCAGCTACTTAGGAAGCTGAGGCTGGAGAATCACCTGAACCCAGGAGGCAGAGGTTACAGTGAGCTGAGATCGTACCACTGCACTCCAGCCTGGGTGACAGAGCAAGACTCTGTTTCAAAAAAAAAAAAAGAGAAGAAATAAAGAAAAAGGCATGTATTCTTTTTTTCTTCCTATTTCTAGCTCCCCTCTTTGTTTATTTACAACAAAGGATTGAGCTATATAGACATACTTGATGTTTAACTTAGATATGGAAAGTATAAAATATTTGATATGTATATTGAATTGCATCTTATATTTTCTATACATAATTTAGAAATCAGATGACTTAGTGGGAATATATTTATGAAAACCATATTGAGTCATTTTAAAACAATGTCAGCATCCTCTTGCTGGTTTGCCTCTTTTGGAGGAGGGTGCTGATGGCCTGGAGCCTTTCCTAGAAACAGAGTTTCTCTATACTCAGCTCCCAAGGAAAGAGGATGAAACGGACATTCATGGAGTTAGGTCTATACCTTATGTGCGTTATCTCAGCTGTCTTTTAGCCTCAGA